AGGCGGTGTAGTCGGGTGAGGGAGAGTTGGCCAGTTCGGCGGCTTCACGGACTGTTGTGGGAAGGCGCTGTCAACGAAAGACGGCCGTGGAATGCTAGGAGAGAAGAGAGGTTGATGAGTGAACTTACGGATGCGCTTGACGGTGGGCGTCTTGCCGGAGAACTGCCCTACGGTGGACATTGTGGCTGCGTAGCAGGATGTAACGAATGCGTGCAGCCTAGGGTTTCATTAGCAAGTGTTGCCGAGAGGGAGGTGGGAAAGTGGTATAGGTGTACAGTGACGGCAAGGTGGGATGCCTTCCCACTTTCCCCGGGCCGACTGTTCGGCAGATCGTCGTTGGTGCAAATGCGTCAACCGTCTTCACATGCAAACCTAAAGAGCGCAGGGCAGTCCACAGACATCTCTACTTACTGCATGCCCGAGAGACTAGTGTGGTAGGACATTGCGACAAGCAGTCAACAAGAGTCCAGTTCAAGGCCTCTTGCAAACACCAGTACCTGATTATGTTTGGTCAGGCACCCACCACCTATCGTGCATAACAAATCAACTTCGAAGCCGTCGCTATCAGCACCACGAGCCCACAGACTCGCAACATTTTATCGATGTTCGCACAAACAGCTGCGCTTGGATATAGGGTAATGTACAATTATGTATTATAGCAATTCCGGTTCAAACAAGGCTGACTTGCGATAACCTGTACCATGCCAATCAAAGAGACCAGAGAATGCCGCCAAGCTTGTATCGTACAAACGCCCAGGCGTATGTTAATGTGAGTGTTGAGACTTCTTCGATCGCCATCTAGGAGCTTGCAAGACCTTCGCGGATAAAGAAGTCCTGGATGACATTGTAGGCACCCTAAAAGATCGTTAGCCGTTTTACAGAAGCGTTGGTTCACGACATGCGCTTACGGTTGAGTTGTAGTGGAAGTTAATTCCGTGGCCGGTGTGAGGCTGGATGTAGGCCTCGAAGGTCCTTGCGCTGGGGAACGCGCTCCTAACGGCATCAGGGATGCTTGGCCCGACACCACCAGTAGCGAGGCAGTCACCACCGCAGTAGATCTGGTCGTTCTCTCCGGTCAGGACTTGAACGGGGCCGGTGAACGGAGAAGTCTCTGGCGCGCCGTTGGCAAGGGTGAAGATCTCGCCAAGGGTGACAGGCTGCTTGGTCATCTCAGCGAAGAGGCCGAAGCCGATGTCGAACATGCCGGGGGTCAAGAAGGCGTAGATGTTTGCGGTGAAGTCAGACCAGCTGAGGTAGCCAGTTGGCAGATTCTGAGCGACTGGAGCAACAGTCGCGTTGTAGCCGTTGATGATGTCACCGACTTCGGTGGTCGCAATCTCCTCCCAGACGGCGTAGTTGCCGAAGTTGATACCGATAAAGCTGAGGGCAGACTGGATCAGCTGGACAGTGTTGGTGCTGAGGTACTTGGAGGACCAGCGGCTTTGGCGGCCGATGGTCACGTTACCGAAGCGCAGCGGTTGGTTCAAGCGGGCGAGGTGGAGGTTCCAGTCGGCAACTGTCGCTGGGAGCCAAGTCGCGTTCATGGAGAAGCCGGTGAGTACAACACCATCGGTAGCGTTGGGGTACATGGCAGAGAGCACGTAGCTCTGAGCGGAACCGAAAGAGTGGCCGACGTGAACGACCTTGTTGAACTTCGTGTTCACGCTAGGGAAGGTGCCGTTGCGAAGCATGTTCGAGACCTCGAGGAGAGCGGAGACCTCAGCTGGGGCTTGGACCTGGTTCAGCGGCTCACCGTGCGAGCTGTTGCCGATTCCGTAGCGGTCGATCGAGACGGTGTGGAAGCCACGCGACAGAGCCACATCGACATAGGAGTAGTTGTAGTTGTTGAAGGGCAGGTCCCAGTAGCTAGAGCACATAGATGAGCACGCACGCAACTAGGTCTGCTCACTGAGTGCAAACGTACCTCTTGTCAAAGCCGATACCGTGGGCAAGAACCTGGACGGTTGGGTTCGTAGAGTTGTCGTTGTCCGGCCTGCAGTACTTGGCAGAGATGTTGGCCGAGAACTGGAGGGTCTGGTAGCCGGTCAAGGCGACATTAGTGAAGTTGGTGCCCTGCCTGGTGAAGTTTAGGGCGAAGGTAGTCGCGTCGAGGTTCGACTGCAGCGTTGGCACATTGAACACACCCTGGCGGGCGTCGATGTTGACCGGCACAGTCACGTTAGTGCAGACCTTGGCGGCAGCGAGGCCAGCCAGAAAGACTGGAGCGAAAAGAGACGCGGCAACCATGATGGACGACGAATTGATGCTGGAGTGGAACGACGGTACGAAAGCAGACCAGGCGAAGGAAACAGACAGGAAGTGTTTACCTCTGAGGAGAGTGTATAGGTTATATGTTGGATCTTGGAAGTGGTGAATGGGCCGAGGTGCGGATGTGGCTGACGTAGCAGACGAAGCCACGCGCGAACTAGGGTCTCGTCGCCTCACGCTGGTCCGCGGTGGTTCGGAGGCAGAACGAGGGCCGGCAGAGAAGTGTCGAGTCGATGTGGGCGTGGAGTTCGTGGAGAAGGTGTGAGCGAACGCGAGCTTCTGCGGTTCTGCGGTCGAGTCGCGACTAGCATGACGGGTCGGCGTGCGCTACCGAAAGCTTAACGTCGCCTCCTCGCACGTGACTGTCCACCTACAACCAAGACAGCAACGGCCTCCTCACTTATGCAGCCTGCCCGCTGGCCGAACGTCATGTACAAAAGCTAACATAGCGGCGGGGCATCTCATCGTCGAGCACTTTCCTACCTGCTCCAATCACACAAACGGGCGGATCCAGGGAAGTCCAGGGAATCGTCATGTTCTTTGGAATTGTTGCGGATCATCCGCCGCATGGATCCCCACACACATCCGCTGCCTCTCTCTCCTCCAGCGTCCATGGGCACCCCTGCAACCGCAACTGCAACTGCTGCGTTTGCACACGCGTTAAACGTGCACGCGCTGCAACGGGAAAGCTGGAGAACCGCCACCAGGACTGATGGTCTACAAATCGGCAAATCCCATTCAACATGCAAATGCCGGATCCTTCCCATCGTGCTCATGTCATGCCACGGGCCTACAGAGAACACGTCAGGGGTGCGCGGTACGGCCAATGTCGTAAGAAACAAGCATATCGCATCCGCCGCATTCATGTCTCAACAACGATCAATCCAGGCTCGCATCGGAGAGGATCGCTCGTCTAGTCGCCGATCGTTGATACCGATCCGTCTCGGCGCTCGATTCAGCCACATATGTACATATATGATGGCAGGGTGGGTACGACTGTTAGCTGTTGGCAGTAATTCCGCGGTCGATTGCATTATCGCAGTTCCACGAGCCTCATCCACGCACCCACTCACCCGCTCACCCGCTGTCAATGCAGGTACTGCAGCATGCATCCGTGGGCCCTCGCATAGGCAGTCGCGCAAGCTCACCGTGGTGAAGGCGCCTATGAGGATCCGTGAGCCCGCATCGAGTTGGTGCAGGCATGGAAAGGCCCGCCCACTAGTCTCCACTGCAGGGTCTTACTAGGCCATCCCCACTTCAGTTATCCGTCCCGCTCATCCGCTGCTTTTGGTATGAGGGCGCTACTCAATCATCGAATTCGCTCTGCTCGAGATGGTTGAGGTGCCCAGGCCTAGGGAGTACGTACACACTGACCGGCAGCACGCAGGGTCATACCCACGATACCGACGTCACTGGACAATGGCACCCAAAGCATGGTCGCTGTTGACACCGAAGGAACTGTCCTGCCTCACGGACAACCGACAAACAACCACGACCGTGAACGATTTGACCTTTCTAGCAAGCAATCAACCGCAAGCATCCAAGCCTGCGGAGCGAGTCGTGCCGCCTCCACTTTTCGGATAAAAGCCCTTGCCAAGCTTCTCCGTCAGGACACCCTCTCGCAATCAAATTGAGCGGGTGAAACCATGAAACTAATATCGCAAGTCCTAGCGAAAATGGCCAGCAGAAGCGCCGGTTCAACCGCACCGGGCTCCTCCTAGGAACTAGAAGACCTCGTTTCGCGCGTCGCTAATCGATAGCAGTTCTCAACAACGGCGGTACCGGCAGCGCGACTAAACGTCCTTTGTGCGCATCCTAGTGGTCGCTGCTAGGAGCACGTGGAATCTGAATGGCCATGCTAAGAGAGCAGGGGATCATCGAGAGCATTGACAGGCCAAGGCTTGCGTAACTGTCATTTGCGCATACCTTGCAAACAAAGTCGAGACAATTGTTGGAGTACCGCGATCAACGGGGTAACCGTATGATCCTGCTATGTCAAAGAGTATCTCCGACAGCATTTCAGCTTCGATTTGTGAGGGCATGGTAGGCGATTCTGTGTCATGTCTGGGTTCCTCACTGATGACGGACTGGGACGTCTGCTCGCCAAAAGACTGAAACTGCATGCTCGATGACAGAGGCTCTATCCCACTCTTCGCAAGGTGTGCGGAAGCTGCTCCTACCAACGTCTTCTCCGGGTTTACGGGCTACAATTCCATGGACAACGCTCTTATGACACTGACAACGGCAAAAGAAGATTGACGCAATTCGTTTGTACGTTCGAAAAGTCCATTGTTCCAGCCCTTGTCTCGTTCACACCAAGCTTGCCGAGAGGCACAGCCACCACAAGTCAAAATCTTGTCCAGCTTGGCGAGAAAATTCAGGGCACTTTGTCATTGCCAATGTTTGACCGAAACTCTGGGCACCTGCCCGGACGTGAGAAACGAAAAAAAAACCGGTAACATCGTCGTCTTAGGCATCGAGAGTCAGTAAGTTGATCGCGGAGAAGCGAGGCATGGCATGTTTGGTGATGCAGCCAGATTACTTAGCCACGCTTGGCGTTCCTCTTCCTCCACCTTCAATGAGCAACTCTGGCTGTTGGAGCTCCTGCTAGCACGTGGCAACAGCGAGGATTACTGGACTAAATGGATTCTTATTCACATAAATAATCTGTCAATCAGATCACGTGATGGGTCGACCCTTCTCTCAGGTTCATCCATGTCATGCGAGGCCTTGCCCCTTTAGCTCAGTTGGTAGAGCGCGACACTAGTATCCATCAAGATGCCGAGATGTCGAGGCCGCCGGTTCGAATCCGTCAGGGGGCAATATCTTTTTCCTTTTCTTCTCCTTGGTGGTTGAACTATGCTTTTGCTGGAATGGAACGCGTTGCAAATTACGTACGCTACTTTGTACAGATCGCTTTCACTTCCCTACCCGCAGCCGAGGTGCTCGGGGGTTTATCGGACCAAGCAACCGCACTCTCTACGCACAGCCACACCCCATAGAAACAGCACCTTTGCCTCGCCCACCCGCTGGCCATCAACTAGATACACAAGACCCGTCTCGCTCAGCGATAGGCTCTTTACGATGGCAAGCCTTGGCTCGCTACTCGCTGTCCAATTAAACATTCCCAATCTGGATCACCTCCTTCTCGTTGAAGGACCCATCATCTCCCAGCTTCGCCTCGTTACCCTGGTGAAGGTTTCGATGATGCGCCGAAGAAAGCTTCCATCTTTTCGAGTGTCTTGCCCCTGGTCTCAGGTGCACGCCACCAGGCCCAAGCCCACGCAGACCATGAGCGAGCCAAAGAACTTACACACGGTGCCTCAATGAGGTCGTCATACGACGTGGTACGAGAGATGATGAAGGATTAGAATCACTGATCAGCAGTGGTGATAGCCACAGAAACTAACACGGATGTCGACAAGGAAGATTTTTGAGCAGTACACTCATGTGATTCTCTGGAGTTCCATAACAGCCAGCCGGAAGGTAACCTCTCGGCGTAAGATGGGCTTACTTACCTGCCAGGTGGCGCAGTAAATCAGTTCATACAGGTATACGCAAAACATGGCGTGATAGTCCCATTCAGCCCGCTCAGCATCGCCACGCGCAGCGGTCGCAGCTGAGCCGTTCCAGGAGACACAGTCGCCAATATACCACGTCGGGATACTGCCTACGAAGGCCCCCAGATCGGATCAGCCTCCTGCGACGGCCCACCTTTTCGATGAGCCAGACACTGAAAGCGATCGTGCCGGTCGTCTTGGTAACACCATAGAAGCCTGTCGCGAACAGCTTGACCGAGGTGCTAGTGATGCCGAATGTCTCGAAAATCCGAGGCGAATAGCAGGCTATGGCGTTAACCTGAGCAGACACTAGCATCGTTCGTACATCTCACAGATCTGTAGACACCGCGTACGCCGGTAAACCCCTTGTATGCCATGAGCAGAAGACTGGTGCCAACTCGATTGCGGGTACCATTCTGCCACATACGACGAGCACAATATTGTCATACTTGCGCGCCCTCCGAATGCGGCCAACCTCGAGTTGAGTCCGAATATCTTGGAGCTCTAGCTGGACGAATGGATGATTCCTTGGCAGCTTGCAGGTCTACCCCATCGTCTTGCCAGCCTCATCCCAACGGTCTTCCTTTGCATACCAGCGGGCGGCAGAAGCTGCAGACCAAGCGGTACTTGCCACTGAGCCTTGAGCCGGACGGGGATGGTCTGGTTAACGATACAGTTGATCCTGAGGACAAATCTCGTTGCAACTCCATCCACTAATAGCTTCACAACGCATGCCAGAAGCCACACACGCCTTCCCCTAGCTACGCATCTCGAATGTTCCGACAAGGCGCCCACAGATGGATGCCGGCGAGATCTCAGCAACGCGTACAGGTTTTAGAAGGGAGGTAGAACTGATTCCACCATGCGGAGGTCTGGGGTTAGTTGAGCGGATCCGGGTTTCGACCGAAAGAACTATGCGAAGATGGCGAAAAGAGTCCATTCAAGTCGGGCAAGTCATGTGCACGACCTGCCATGGTCCATGTCTGGCCTATACGTTCGTTGAGCGCGGCGCGGGCTTGAGCACCGCTGATGACCTTTCTTGGCCTTGGCCTTGGCAAACTTGGGCTTGGCGCTCCGCTGCCGCTCGCCACGCACTCCGCCGCTCGTTTCTTATTGACTTTAGTCAATGAGGGATACGTGCTCTTATGTTTCGTGGCTGAGTATCTCGCCATTACAACGCGCACTTGGCGTCGTGTGTGAACTAGGCGTTGCTCTCTTGACGTGTGCCATGGTTTGTCTGTCAAACATTCGGTGCCTGGGCATCGCCCACCTGTTCGATTGTTGCACAGCCCCTTGGGAGGCATAAAACACAGGACAGAGACCTCTTCTGCCTTTTCGATGTAACGCTACCTGGCAAGAGGTGTATCAATAACGTCCTTTCTTCGCGGTTGAGCGTTGAGTATAGTTGCGATGGCTCCTCAAAACCATTCTGGCGAACACCGCCAGTCTGCCTTGCCTCGCATAACACTTGATATTCCGGTAAGCTGGGGGCGCATCAACTAAAAGTGCATGGTGATCGCTGACTCCGGGCACAGGACAATGCCCAGACTCCAGCGGAAACCTCCCCATCTCAGAAGCAATCACAAGAGACCGGTCAATAAGCAACCTAAGTGCTACTTCCTGGACTCCAAGAGACCGAGGCATGAGCGGCAGCACGGTGGCTCCTTCGTCGCCCTCCCTCCTATCGCCACCGAAAACACCGGTCGGAGGATCCTCCTTCGGCAGTGGCTCCAGTGTGTTCACATTCGACCATCATGAGGATGCGCTCAAGCCCGACCCAGGCTCGGAACAAGACTTTGAAGTTCAGAATAACTCTTTTGCCTTTTCTCCTGGCCAACTAAACAAGCTTCTAAACCCTAAGTCACTAGCGGCATTCGTTGCTCTAGGCGGCCTTCCTGGCCTAGAGAGAGGCCTGCGTACAGATGTCGATGCAGGTCTTAGCATTGATGAGACAACGTTAGACGGTTCGGTGAGCTTTGATGAGGCCAGTGGATATTATCGGAAACTCCGCGAGGTTGGCGGTAACACAGCAGCACCTCGGCCGCTCGGAACCCGGACAGCGACCACACCTCAGCAGTCAGCATCCGACAATGCGTTCAGCGACCGCATCCGCATCTTCAACCGAAATACGCTTCCGGAGAAGAAGCCTACGCCGCTTTGGAAACTGATGTGGCAAGCGTACAATGACAAGATCCTGATCTTACTCAGTGTTGCCGCCGCGATATCGTTGGCCCTCGGACTATACGAAACCTTCGGTGTTGAGCACGAGCCCGGTACCCCCATGCCTGTTGATTGGGTCGAGGGTTGCGCCATCTGCATTGCCATTGTCATCGTCGTACTGGTCGGCTCATTGAACGACTGGCAGAAGGAGAGGGCTTTTGTGAAGCTGAACGCGAAGAAGGAAGACCGTGAGGTCAAGGTCGTTCGATCCGGAAAGTCCTTCCAGATCAACGTCCATGATGTGCTGGTTGGCGACATACTTCACCTGGAGCCGGGCGATCTTATCCCAGCGGACGGTGTCTTCATCACTGGTCACAATGTCAAGTGCGACGAATCCTCCGCCACAGGTGAATCCGATCAGCTCAAGAAGACTGGTGGAGAGCAAGTTTTGCGCCTCATGGAGCAGGGGATCACGAATCCCAAGGATCTGGACTGCTTTATCATCTCCGGAGCCAAGGTACTTGAGGGTGTTGGCACATATCTCGTTACCTCCGTTGGCGTCAACTCCAGTTTCGGTAAAATCATGATGGCCATGCGCCAGGAGACGGAACCTACTCCTCTTCAAGTCAAACTGGACGGCCTTGCTACCGCTATCGGCAAACTGGGTTCCACGGCCGCCGGATTCCTCTTCTTCGTTCTTCTGTTCCGGTTCCTCGCCAACCTCTCCGGCAACACTGCCTCGCCCGCTGAGAAGGGCTCTCAGTTCATGGATATCCTCATAGTCGCCATCACGGTCATTGTGGTCGCTGTTCCTGAGGGGCTCCCTCTTTCAGTGACCTTGGCTCTTGCATTTGCTACTACCAGATTGGTCAAGCTCAACAACCTGGTGCGCGTTTTGAAATCCTGCGAGACGATGGGTAATGCCACGACTGTTTGCTCCGATAAGACGGGCACTCTCACCCAGAACAAGATGACGGTTGTCAAGGGCACGTTCGGCGAAGACTCATTTGACGACAAGAGCCAAACGGGCAACGAGCGCCGCTCTGCAGCTTTCGCACAAGATCTGTCGTCCGAGCACAAGCGGATGATCATCGAAGCCATCGCCATCAACTCGACCGCTTTCGAAAGCGACAACGGCGAGCACGGTTTCGTGGGCTCGAAGACGGAAACCGCACTTCTGGGATTCGCGCGCCATTCGCTTGGCATGGGTTCGCTTGCCGAAGAACGCTCCAATGCAGAGGTTGTACAACTGATGCCATTCGACTCTGGCCGAAAATGCATGGGCGCTGTTCAGAAGCTCTCTACTGGCTCTTATCGTTTCCAAGTCAAGGGGCCTCGGAGATACTTCTCGGTTACAGCACCTCTGTCTGGACACGTTCTGGCGACGTCGCCTTGGACGGATCTCAGCGTGAACGTCTCGAAGGTGTCATTGACTCATACGCAAAGGAATCCCTACGCACCATCGCCCTGATCACGAAAGACTTCCCTCAGTGGCCGCCACATGACGCAGTCAGCGAGAACGATCCATCTTCTGCCAATGTCGACCTGCTTCTCAAAGACATGACGTTCCTCGGTCTCGTTGGTATTCAAGATCCGATTCGGCCTGGTGTGCCCGAAGCTGTTGCAAAGTGTCATCATGCTGGCGTTTCTGTACGAATGGTCACAGGCGACAACGTCGTCACCGCTAGGGCAATAGCGACAGACTGTGGCATCTACACTGATGGAATCGTCATGGAAGGCCCGGTCTTCCGTACCTTGACTGATGCACAGATGAATGAGACTCTTCCGAAACTGCAGGTGCTCGCTCGCTCCTCGCCCGAAGATAAGCGCATCCTCGTCACTCGGCTTCGCGCACTCGGCGAGATCGTCGCTGTGACGGGAGATGGCACCAATGACGGACCTGCGCTCAAGGCAGCAGACATCGGCTTCTCTATGGGTATTGCTGGCACCGAGGTTGCTAAGGAAGCGTCTGCCATCATCCTAATGGACGATAACTTTGCATCTATCCTAACAGCGCTAATGTGGGGGCGCGCTGTGAACGATGCCGTGCGCAAGTTCCTGCAGTTCCAGATCACTGTCAACATCACCGCTGTGCTGCTGAC